ATCGGCTGAAACTTGAAGTAAACTGTATTTGCGCGTAAATTAATCGATTAATTAATTAGCTCGAGAGCACTCCGGGATTAATTTGCCAGAGGGGAGAGGATGACTGTGTGCGAGAGTAGAATTTTATCGTTAGACACTAAACTAAACTCCCAATTCTACTACTATGTTAGTATTAAAATAATAATAATTATAGTTATCAATTTCCCGGTGTTCTTCATTTTTCTCTACTTTTTCTATCGTCGGAATACCACTTTTGTTATTCAGGAATAATCTGAAAATTCAATTAGCATCTGTTCTCTCGACGTGGAATATTTTTCATTTCGTCGTTTACAATGGAAAATTTTCGTTCGTTGTACTTCGACCGAATGACAAGGTAAAAAATCCTCTGGAGGAGATTTTCGTCTTTATTTCATTCTTATTATACGAATATTTGATATATGATAGACGCAGAGGTGCAATATGCCTGTGCATCGATGCGGCGGTGAAAGAGGAAGCTACAAAAAGACAGGAAAATTAGTGAGGAAAAATCGACTTCGCGAAACTGCGAATCTTGGAGCCGGAACTGGCGCGGAAGTCGTTGGTTACACGAAAGAATGAAGGTAATAAAATAGCACGAGTAATCGATCTCTCGTATCAGAGGAAAAACCACAACGTTGTTTCGTTTTTCGTATATAAAGAATAGAATACGAGCCGCGGAGCAAATGAAAAGTTGTAAATAACGGGTTGAGAAATTGTATTTGGTAATTTGTTGCTTAGCGGTGACGAATTTTTTATTTAAAGTACGAAGAACAGGGAGAAAATGCATACTTATATCTAACGACTAAACTAAGTTAGAAAGTACAGCAACTTTTTCTATTATTTAAAAATATCAACTCTGGGTACGTTTAATATTCGTTATATAAAGTTAGTATAGCGAAATTTTCATTGGGATTTCTGTTAATAAAATTATAAATTTTAGTGTAAATGAAAATTAACATGCTTCTTTCGCTAAATAATATTTGCACAAGTTCCAAATAAATGTTTCTCTATTTCGTACATTCTTGGGATATTTAGACTTGCTCGTTGGATCGGAGAATAAATTAGAACAATTAAATTCAAATTCAAATATTGCTACATTCGATCAGTTCTTTGTTGAATAATTCTCACCATTCTAAAGGTGCGTATCCGTTTGTTGCATATCCGCTTATCGTATCACCATTGCGTATCAATTTTGAGGAGCATGCGTTGCATCGTTGCGTATCAAAATGTGATTAAGATACGCAACGATAAGGCGATACGCAGATATGCAACAAAAATTAAGATGTGTCACATTTTGATACGCAGCAATGCAACGCATGCTCGTCAAAATTGATACGCAACGATGAGACGATACGCAGTGCAACAAAAATTAAGATGTGTCACATTTCGATACGCAACAGTGCAACGCATGCTCGTCAAAATTGATACGCAAAGGTGATACGCAACGATGAGACGATACGCAGATATGCAACAAAAATTAAGATGTGTCACATTTCGATACGCAACAGTGCAACGCATGTCAAAATCGTCAAAATTGATACGCAACGATGATACGCACCCTAAAATTTCCCTAAAACTTGAGTATCACAGAATTTCAAAGAACTTTTACCACATTACGTTATGAAAAATTTTCAAAACTCATAACACGAGTTCATATTCCTCAAAAAATTAATATTACTTTCTTTCCTACGTTAAATATTCCTTACTTATTAACTTCTTTGCATAATAAGCGTTTCCCTCGCAATATTTCCACATTGCACGTTGAAAACGATTAATCAAAAGTAATTTATTGCGGAGCAGTCGTCGATATCTGAATAGCCATTGCTGAAGAACCTATCAGCGGCAAACTAAACAGCAGAAAGAACAATAACCGTTACGATTGCACCTCCGCGCCAGGAATTGTCAACATTTGCCGAAAGAAAGATCGATTAATAATGTATTAAACTACCGGGGTAATGTTTATCAATTCCTAGAGGCATCTCGACCTCGATATCTCTCCAGTGTCAATATTTATTTTGGCTTCTCGGCAATTAAGCGACAGCCGATGGGTTTTATAAGCCTTCG